GGTGATCGATTGTTTTAAGGAAGAGGTCACGTGACGTTAGAAATTTTGGGCGGGCGACGTCGACGCGGTTTTTCCGGTTTTTTAGGAGGTTCGCGAAACGCCCGGAAGGAAAGAGGTACCGTTTCGGAAAGTAGAAACTCGGCGCTTTACGGGCGGGCGAGAGCCGTCGCGGCGAGACGAACGGATCGGATCGAAAACGGCCGGTAAAGTCGAAAAATCGACCGTTTTTCGGACGGTACGCGGCGTTATTTCACACTGGTTTCGCCGTTTATCGAAATATCGACTCGAGATCGGTCTCGTTCGATAGCTAAACGAAAAATACGTGCCTATTAGCTAAATCTGTTCGGTTCCGTGTCTCGGTTTTTTTTCTAGAAATGTTCGAAAAAAAAGCGACAAAAACGACGAATCGCCTAGAAAACTACGATATCTCCCTTATGCCGAAGAGAAAAGGAATTTCGCGCGCCGCGTTTCGTACATCTCGGCGAGCGCTACAAATTATGCGGAGAGACGTTTTTTCGTTTACGGTACCCGTTTCGAATAAACGAACCTCGAACGTCGTCAAGAATGACTTTTTTGCGTATAAAGCGCGCTGCTTCATCGTAAATCAGCTATCTCCTCCGAAGATAAAGGAGCTACGAACCTGACGATTTTTGCGTGAGAAAGCCCATGCTTCGGACACTCTTTTAATACTATTTTCATCATCATTATTCGTTTACGTTGAAAAGTTTCGATTTTTTAAAAATTCCTCGACAATACGCTACTTTTCGACGCGTGAAAAAGTCACCTTGTCATCCGGCTCTGTCCTCGCTTATTACTACCGTACGTGAGCGAGTAAAAATTATACAGCTATCGAAAAATAACGATAATGAGCTGACGAAACGATTCTGACCGTCAGAATTACCGTCAAATTTCGAAAAAGTAAACTTTGAGCGCCTCAAAAGTACCGATGACAACCGTTTTTCGGCGTACTTTGTCTTCGTCGATACGCACCTGCGTTACGGAGCGACGTAGCTACGATTTTTTTTCGCAAAACGACAGGCCAAAGTCTCCTGATTAAACCGACATACGGCACGTTACCCGATCGCATTTTTTAAACTCGGCAGATTACAAAATTCAAAAATATGCACACATTTTTAGTTTGAAGTTTCAATTTTGAATTTCCCCTCCAGATCCCCGGATTCCTGTTAGGCGGGGTATTGTAGATACGATCGTATTACGAAAGCGAGCGAGTGCGAGCGGAACGTCAAAAACGTGCCATTTTCGGCTTCATGACTATCGCTGCATCCAATATTGGATCACGCCAAATAGAATTGTCCTTTTTTGCGCGTGAAAATCAACATTTTCGAAAAGATTCAAAATTTCTATATTCCATTGTCTAAACGGACCGGACTAGAGCCATTAAAATCGTAGGAATCTAGTAGTTTTTTATTTTGACAGATTGCGATGTCTACCGCCAAAGGCTGCAATTATTCTTTGACGTTCATCAATTTATTGAAATCATCATCGGTTTATAAATACTATAAAAATATGATTGTAAGCCCCTATTCATGTTATAATTTTACAATATGGCATAAAGCTCCGCTTTTCTAACCGATTGATATAAAGCGTATGTCTGATTGCATCACATTGCATCATTCTAACCTACAATGTATGAATGTAAACATTATCGAAATCTTAACAATGAGGCTCCCGTTAATAAGGATTAATTAGAAGCTTAGAACAAGCAATCGCAGCTACAAATAGTGAAAGTGTTGTGTGAAGTGTTTACAGTTTATGTGTTTCTATTGCAAACGTAAGTAGTCAGTCACTTCTATGAAGTTCAGTAAGAGTTCAGTCTTGACCCTCAGTTCAATGTATCTAAATATGTAGACCTATTAGCTGGCTAACAGTGGCACATATTATCAAGCAGATGAAGGAATATGCAAAGCGCTGAAAAATAGCATTGATAATCATATCTACTACCAAAGTTTTCAAAATTACTAAGACTTTCACAGCCACTGCAGTTGTTTATTTTGATCTCAATGCAGAATGTATGTACTTCGATTTAGAATGTAGCTGCTTTAAGGAGACTTGTCACTTCCAAGACTTGTCAAAACAACAGACACCATTACTTGTCAAAAAACTATAGCACTTGATGATTTCAGATTTCTATTCTGTTTTTAAAGATGTTATTATTATATGTCTAATTTCAAGGATACTCACATCTGTCCTGTTTCTAAGACTGATCTTAATCATAGATTACAGAAAAATTCATTATTGAATCAGAGGAAACAGATTACAAAATTTGATTTTCAAGCGATACTATTACTTACTGTCCAACAACTATAGTACTTAATAATTTCAAGCTTCTGGTCTAATTTTTTGAGATGTTATTATTATATGTCATGTTTCTAATTGATTGATCATAATCATACAACATTAAAAAAAATAGAGGAAATTTTATTTTAAGGCGATAGCACATTTTTCTCCAGATCATAAAGCGAGCATTGTTCATCTGCTTCTGTTGAATTTTTCCCAAACGAAGAACTTTACCACCAACAAACTCATAAATATTGTAAAAACCTTGTAGTAGTAGTATCTCACCTGAGTAGTATGTATAAATGGAAAATAAGTAAACAAACTTGTCATCTATCCCTTCGATTGGCAAATATTATCAAGCAGATGAAGGAATATGCAAAGCGCTGAAAAATAGCATTGATAATCATATCTACTACCAAAGTTTTCAAAATTACTAAGACTTTCACAGCCACTGCAGTTGTTTATTTTGATCTCAATGCAGAATGTATGTACTTCGATTTAGAATGTAGCTGCTTTAAGGACTTGTCACTTCCAAGACTTGTCAAAACAACAGACACCATTACTTGTCAAAAAACTATAGCACTTGATGATTTCAAATTTCTATTCTGTTTTTAAAGATGTTATTATTATATGTCTAATTTCAAGGATACTCACATCTGTCCTGTTTCTAAGACTGATCTTAATCATAGATTACAAAAAAAATCATTATTGAATCAGAGGAAACAGATTACAAAATTTGATTTTCAAGCGATACTATTACTTACTGTCCAACAACTATAGTACTTAATAATTTCAAGCTTCTGGTCTAATTTTTTGAGATGTTATTATTATATGTCATGTTTCTAATTGATTGATCATAATCATACAACATTAAAAAAAATAGAGGAAATTTTATTTTAAAGCGATAGCACATTTTTCTCCAGATCATAAAGCGAGCATTGTTCATCTGCTTCTGTTGAATTTTTCCCAAACGAAGAACTTTACCACCAACAAACTCATAAATATTGTAAAAACCTTGTAGTAGTAGTATCTCACCTGAGTAGTATGTATAAATGGAAAATAAGTAAACAAACTTGTCATCTATCCCTTCGATTGGCAAATATTATCAAGCAGATGAAGGAATATGCAAAGCGCTGAAAAATAGCATTGATAATCATATCTACTACCAAAGTTTTCAAAATTACTAAGACTTTCACAGCCACTGCAGTTGTTTATTTTGATCTAAATCGATTTAGAATGTAGCTGCTTTAAGAACTTGTGACTTCCAAGACTTGTCAAAACAACAGACACCATTACTTGTCAAAATTTGTAAGATAAGTACTCTTGCACAGTATAATCGTAACTTGGTATAGACATATTTGTGATATCGCTTAGATTAAGCCTGCCAGGGGAGTGAAAGTTACCTATACGAGTACTGAACTCTACATTAAAATAATTTATGATGCCATGTGTTGTATCTAAACTATTTTTATTTCTGCAGATCACATAATTATTACATACATCCCTTAAAAGGGCCCAATTTGAAGTAACATATTATAGAGTTCAATTTTCACATTGTTGTTATTTTTACGGGTTCTTCTTTCTGGCGATGGAAAGTTCAATTGCTTCTCCCTATTATACCTAAACAATGTAGGTCTATTTTCTTTTTTCCCATCCACAAAGTGACAACTACATAAGTATGCACCAGGACCTGGTTCAACAACTGTTCTCCTGCAATAAATAGTAAAAATAAGACAAAAGTTCAATTTGAAAATATCCTATCAAAGAACGGTAACTCATGTGAATAGCAATATCTAAATACAGCATTTTTTATAAGCAAGATACACACACATTAGCGGATCGCTCAGTTACATACCTGCTTGTAAACTAACGGCCTTATTTTCAACAAAAATTGTTTTAAAACTCCACTTTAACCACTTGATACGGAAGAAGTTTTCTCAAGGTGTTTATGTTTACTTTTTTTTAGTTTTACGGATTTCCTTACTATGATATTTAGGAATTAACTTTCAGAATCTTAATTTTTCCTTTCATTATGTTGTAGATGCACACATCTCACAATAGGAGTTATTGAATTTTAATTTTAAACAAAATACATTTCATTTTCCAGGTTAGAAAAAATTACCTATGACAATGACATTGACATTACAAAACAGAAAACATATACACTGAAGAAAGCATAGTCCACTGCTATCCGTAGACGAACACGGTTGACATATGTCAGTGTCAAGCGCCATTTTTTTGCAAGTCGTGTTATAGCTAGATTTATGCGACGATCCTCATATAAATCTAAGTCTGCTATACAATTTGCTACATGGAAGATTTTATAACGCCATGTATGGTATTAACAACAACACATGCGACGTTGCCGGCATCTCACATAAATCTGAGTCTGTTATACAATTGTATACAGGATATTTTCAATGCTATATGGAAGATAACAGACAACAGATAACAGGTAGAAGGTGGTAACAGGTAACAGGTGGTAACATATAACAGATAACTTATAACAGATAAAAGATAAAAGATGACAGATAACAGATAAAAAGTAACACATAAAAGAAAACAGGTAACAGATAACAAATAACTGATAACTGAAAACTAAAAAATGAAAACTGAAATCTGAAGAATGAAAAATGAAAAATGAAAAATTGAAAATTGAAAATTAAAAATCAAAAATCAAAATCAAAAATCAAAAATCAAAGATCAAAAATCAAATCGAAAAATCGAAAAATCGAAAAATCGAAAAATCGAAAAATCGAAAAATCGAAAAATCGAAAAATCGAAAAATCGAAAATCGAAAAATCGAAAAATCGAAAAATCGAAAAATCGAAAATCGAAAAATCGAAAAATCGAAAAATCGAAACATCGAAAAATCGAAAAATCGAAAAATCGAAAAAACGAAAAAACGAAAAATCGAAAAATTAAAAATTAAAAATTAAAATAGAAAAATTAAAAATGAAAAATTAAAAATTAAAATAGAAAAATGAAAACTGATAACTTATAAAAGATAACAGATACCAGATAGCAGATACCAGAAACCAGATACTAAGACACCAGATACCAGATACCAGATACCAGACACCAGATACCAGATACCAGATACCAGACACCAGATACCAGATACCAGACATCAAATACCAGACACCAGACACCAGACACCAGAAACCAGATAACAGATACGAGATACCAGATACCAGATACCAGACACCAGACACCAGATACCAGACACCAGATACCAGATGCCAGATACCAGACACCAGACACCAGATACCAGACATCAGATACCAGACACCAGAAACCAGATACGAGATACCAAATACCAGATACCAGATACCAGACACCAGATACCAGATACCAGATACCAAACACCAGATACGAGATACCAGATACCAGATACCAGATACCAGCCACCAGATACCAGACACCAGATACCAGATACCAGATACCAGACACCAGAAACCAGATACCAGATAAAGAGATAACAGATACAAATACCAGATACCAGACACCAGACACCAGATACCAGATACCAGATACCAGACACCAGATACCAGATACCAGACACCAGATACCAGACATCAGATACCAGACACCAGATACCAGATACCAAACATCAGATACCTGATACCAGATACCAGATACGAGATACCAGACACCAGATACCAGACACCAGATACCAGACACCAGAAACCAGATACCAAATAAAGAGATAACATACCAAATACCAGATACCAGATACCAGACACCAGATACCAGACACCAGACACCAGAAACCAGATACCAGATACGAGATACCAGATACCAGACACCAGACACCAGATACCAGACACCAGATACCAGATGCCAGATACCAGACACCAGACACCAGATACCAGACATCAGATACCAGACACCAGAAACCAGATACGAGATACCAAATACCAGATACCAGATACCAGACACCAGATACCAGATACCAAACACCAGATACGAGATACCAGATACCAGATACCAGATACCAGCCACCAGATACCAGACGCCAGATACCAGATACCAGACACCAGAAACCAGATACCAGATAAAGAGATAACAGATACCAAATACCAGATACCAGACACCAGACACCAGATACCAGATACCAGATACCAGACACCAGATACCAGATACCAGACACCAGATACCAGACATCAGATACCAGACACCAGATACCAGATACCAAACATCAGATACCTGATACCAGATACCAGATACGAGATACCAGATACCAGATACCAGACACCAGATACCAGACACCAGAAACCAGATACCAGATAAAGAGATAACATACCAAATACCAGATACCAGATACCAGATACCAGACACCAGATACCAGATACCAGACATCAGATACCAGATATATGATTCCAGATACCAGATACCAGATACCAGACACCAGATACCAAATACGAGATGCCAGATACCAGATACCAGACACCAGACACCAGATACCAGACACCAGATACCAGACACCAGATACCAGATAGCAGATACCAGATGCCAGACACCATACACCAGACACCGGATACCAGATACCAGATCCACATACCAGATACCAGATACCAGATGCCAGACACCAGATACCAGATACCAGATACCAGATACCTGATACCAGACATCAGATTCCAGACACCAGATGCCAGACACCAGATACCAGATACCAGACACCAGACACCAGATACCTGTTACCAGATACCAGATACCAGACACCGGATACCAGATACCAGATACCAGACACCAGACATCAGATACCAGATACCAGATAAAGACACCAGATACCAGACATCAGATACCGGATACCAGATACCAGATACCAGATTCCAGATACCAGATACCAGACACCAGATACCAGATACCAGATGCCAGACACCAGATACCGGATACCAGATACCAGACATCAGATACCAGATACCAGATACCAAATACCAGACACCGGATACCGGATACCAGATACCAGACACCAGACACCAGATACCTGATACCAGATACCAGACACCGGATACCGGATACCAGATACCAGATACCAGATACCTGATACCAGATACCAGATCAAAGATGCCAAAGGATAAAAAATGATTAGAGATAGTTATCGCTAGCATTGCATTAGCATACCAGCAACTGCGCTACGTGAGGTTTTAAATAAAGACATCAACGTACAATATTTGGCATAGCGTTAGCATGCCAGAAACTGCGCTAGTCGACTATATTAAGCGGTGATCGATTGTTTTAAGGAAGAGGTCACGTGACGTTAGAAATTTTGGGCGGGCGACGTCGACGCGGTTTTCCGGTTTTTTAGGAGGTTCGCGAAACGCCCGGAAGGAAGGAGGGTACCGTTTCGGAAACTAGAAACTCGGCGCTTTACGGGCGGGCGAGAGCCGTCGCGGCGAGAGGAACGGATCGGATCGAAAACGGCCGGTAAAGTCGAAAAATCGACCGTTTTTCGGACGGTACGCGGCGTTATTTCACACTCGTTTCGCCGTTTATCGAAATATCGACTCGAGATCGGTCTCGTTCGATTAGCTAAACGACGGGCGCACACTTTAGGGCGGAACCGATCGCGGTCCGCGTCTTAGTTTTTTTTTAAGAAATGTTAAAGAAAACGCGAGAAAAAACGGCAAGTCGCGGTAAAAACTTCGATATCTCCTTTACGCCGAAAGAGAAAAGAAATTCTTCGCGCGCCGCGTTTCGTACATCTCGACTAGCGCTACGAATTACGCGGAGAGACTTTTTTCCGTTTACGGCACCCGTTTCGAATAAACGAACCTCGAACGTCGTCAAGAATGACTTTTTTGCTTATGAAACGCGCTTATCGCCGTCCACGGTCTATCTCCTCCGAAGATAACGAAGATACGGACCTGGCGACTGTCGCATAAGAAAGCCCGTACTTCGAATACGGGATCGCAATTTTATCCGTTTCTCCATTCGTTTTACGTTGAAAAGTTTCGATTATTTAAAAATTCCTCGACAATACGCAACTTTTCGACGCGTGAAAAAGTCACCTTGTCATCGGCTCTGTCCTCGCTTATTACTACCGTACGTGAGCGAGTAAAAATTATACAGCTATCGAAAAATAACGATAATGAGCTGACGAAACGATTCTGACCGTCAGAATTACCGTCAAATTTCGAAAAAGTAAACTTTGAGCGCCTCAAAAGTACCGATGACAACCGTTTTTCGGGCGTACTTTGTCTTCGTCGATACGGACCTGCGTTACGGAGCGACCGTGGCTACGATTTTTTTTCGCAAAACGAAAGGCCAAAGTCTCCTGATTAAACCGACATACGACACGTTACCCGATCGCATTTTTTAAACTCGGCAGATTACAAAATTTAAAGATATGCAGATAATTTTAGTTTGACGTTTCAATTTTGAATTTCCCCTCCAGATCCCCGGATTCCTGTTAGGCGGGGTATTGTAGATATGATCGTATTACGAAAGCGAGCGAGTGCGAGCGGAACGTCAAAAACGTGCCATTTTCGGCTTCATGACTATCGCTTCATCCAATATGGATCACGCCAAATAGAATTGTCCTTTTTTGCGCGTGAAAATCTACATTTTCGAAAAGATTCAAAATTTCTATATTCCATTGTCTAAACGGACCGGACTAGAGCCATTAAAATCGGATGAATCTAGTAGTTTTTTTGTTTACAGATTGCGATGTCTACCGCCAAAGGCTGCAATTATTCTTTGACGTTCATCAATTTATTGAAATCATCATCGGTTTATAAATACGATAAAAATATGATTGTAAGCCCCTATTCATGTTATAATTTACAATATGGCATAAAGCTCCGCTTTTCCAACCGATTGATATAAAGCGTATGTCTGATTGCATCACCTCCGATTTCTAACCTACAATGTATGAATGTAAACATTATCGAAATCTTAATAATGAGGCTCCCGTTAATAAGGATTAATTAGAAGCTTAGAACAAGCAATCGCAGCTACAAATAGTGAAAGTGTTGTGTGAAGTGTTTACAGTTTATGTGTTTCTATTGCAAACGTAAGTAGTCAGTCACTTCTATGAAGTTCAGTAAGAGTTCAGTCTTGACCCTCAGTTCAATTTATTTAATATGTAGACCTATTAGCTGGCTAACAGTGGCACATACATTATCAAGCAGATGAAGGAATATGCAAAGCGCTGAAAAATAGCATTGATAATCATATCTACTACCAAAGTTTTCAAAATTACTAAGACTTTCACAGCCACTGCAGTTGTTTATTTTGATCCAATGCAGAATGTATGTACTTCGATTTAGAATGTAGCTGCTTTAAGGACTTGTCACTTCCAAGACTTGTCAAAACAACAGACACCATTACTTGTCAAAAAACTATAGCACTTGATGATTTCAAATTTCTCTGTTTTTAAAGATGTTATTATATGTCTAATTTCAAGGATACTCACATCTGTCCTGTTTCTAAGACTGATCTTAATCATAGATTACAGAAAAATTCATTATTGA